ACCCTGCCAATGTAAAACACAAACAGGAGAGGGGACAGGACGCAGCTTTGGAGGGGAACTTTAACGTTGAAAGTTTTCGACTCAAATTCGTTGACTCCGACGCAGCACCTGCTGTCAATACGTAGTGATTGATGACTCACAGCAACTGACGATCGATCCTAACACGTTTGCGGGCATGCCCATAGCTCATCACGCGGAATCCGGCCATAGCATTCTCCACGGTCACGAGGCACTCGAAAACCCGCTACACAAACTTCCACGATTTCTCAACAATCTGCCGTAAGGCGAAGATCCGGTCAGAGATGGCTTGGTCTGACCTGAAGCAACACTGCACCTCTTCTATGCTAGAGCCAACTCCTCGCGACGCGTCCGCACTTTCCCGCGAAAAGGAAAACCATTGCCGTAATGCCCTGACAATTGCAACACTCCCTAAAATCTCCCTTCTTTAATAAGGATATGACAATCCCAGTCATAGAGATCACTGGACTCTTCCCTGTAGCCACTGAGGTTCTACAGACACGTTTTGGCCACAACATGTTTTGGTCGCCTACGAAGCATTTCAGGGTGAATTTAATTCATTCCAGCAGCCTCGTTATTTTTAAGCTTCTTACTGTTTCTGCTACTTCATGTCTAAAATCTACATCCATTGCCTGCTGCTTTTTGGGAGAGTCAACCTGCTGTTGAGGAGTTCTTGAAAGTACAGTTCCATCGTCAAAGTTCGCCTTCATTTTTTCTAAGAGGGCGTCCGGACATGTCCTTCACGGCTATCAAACTATCCTACTTTTCGTCGCGCAGATGGCGGATATTCTCCCGCAATACCTTGTTTGCCTTTTGGAAATTCAACTCCAGCAACTTACTGTACATTTTTCCCAGGAATCCGTCTTCGCTTTGGCCACTGCTTCTGCTACCGCTTTACGAGCTTATTCGTACTACATCCGAGTCGACATTTCATTTAAAGCAGTCACCTTTTGAATCCAGCCTTCTGCTCGTTGACAGCCTACTCAACCTTTCGTGTCCACCAGCAGGCACTTCCAGACGGCAGGCTAACCCGCAGCATTCAGCAACACCTTCGAATATGCCGCTCTTAAAGAGCTGCCATTCGGTTTCCACATCAGTTGTCATCACCGGGATCTGTTCAAACCGCCGTGCGATGTTGTTTGCAGATTTCGCTCTCGTGTCCACGGAAGGTAATGTTTCCCATTTGATTCTCAGGTTGCTTCTGCCACCAGATCTTCGTATAATACTCCATTTCTTTCAGCGTAGCGTGCCAGCAACAAGGTGATGATCGGTTGATAGCACTGCGCCTCTCTTAATGCGAACGTCCGTTAGAGAACCTCATAGATCAGACGATACGACTGTTAAACCGTTCCCTGTGCCAGGTATACTGATGCATTCAAACAAGGTGTTCATAATGGACAGCCGTTGTTTCTAAAAAAAACCGCACAACTTCGTGCCGCTATTGTTGAGGTCGTTAGGGTCGTTTTTTTCCAATCACACCGTTCCACTTTTCAGCGTCTACTCCGATATGCGCATTAAAATCGCCCATCAACATGAGGGACTCTGTATTTCGCACTTCGGACAGAGCATACTGCAATTCCTTAAGGAAGGAGTCATATTCTCCCTCTAAACTGGGCACATATACCTGTAGCAAGGTCAACGCTTTAGCTGACAGGCTTCCATTCAATGATTCTATGAGTCAGACTAGGTTCTACCAGAACATTAACACCGAGCTGAGCTGGAATCGTTATGCTGACACTGAGTAGAATATTTTTTAACCTCAAAGGTGCAGAAATCCAGTGTTCTAGCGGTTTGTTGACGAGGTTCATTTATGCTCATTCGGAACCTTGTGACCTGAATAACTAACTTCTGCTCTTTCCATCCGAATGAAATGTTCCAATGTCTGACCGCGAGCTGCTGTTGTCGATGTACTTCTCGTGGAACCTTGTCTGACCTACCAAATGGCATTGCGCTGCCTGTCTCCTCTGCTAAGAACGGGTAGCTGCTCACTTGCTACCTAATGAATGTAACGAATATGCTTGACAAAATCCTCATGTCCGTACGACGGCCTTAAAATGTCAGAATGCATACTCGTTCGGGGTAGAACCAAAGCTTTACGCCATAGTATGTTGACGGACAGTGGCATACAAGAGTCTCGGTAATTCAGCCGCTACTGAGAGAAGAACCGAACTGAAAGTATTGCAAGAAGGATGAAGAAAGGATTTTCATGCTAATAGCGGATTTTCCAAGTATCGATCAAAATCACGTAGTTATTTTTCATTTTGTGACATTGTCTTCCAAGAATCCCCCCCAGATTTTCCGCTTTTCTTGTCCATTAAGGCGCGGTACCTGATAAAAGGTAGGCAGCACAGCGACAAGTTTGTTATGCTTTCGTCGATGATTGGCATAAACAGTGGCGTCACTCTTTTTAACCGGTTTCCGCGCAATTCTGTCTGATGTGTAGACCTTACTGCT